TTCAACTATGGCTTTAAATTCAGCCGAAGAGAGATTATATTGGGTTTGGAGATTGGTTTTGGCCGAAGTAAGGGCTGGATTGGGTGGGGGAGGGAGAGGATTTTCATTTGGAAAGGGGTCGGGGTTGTCATTCCTGACTTTCTGTTCGATACATTCTTGACACCAATCTTGGCAACCAGTCGGAAAAGTAGTCGGTTGTGAACGGCGAAGATTACAATTTTTACATTCGGGAGTAGTATGGTTTTGTTCTTCCTCCTCTTGGGCTTCTTTGTAATTTTGAGCCAAAACGGTTAATAGGTTTTTTTCCAAGTTAAAAAAATCATCCAAAGAAATATGTTCAACAAATAACTCATAATAAATTTCTATTCAATCCTCTCGCTCTCCAACTTGTAATGAAGTAAACCTATTAATAATGCTAAAACTTTTATGGTGAAATCCAAGCGAGATTGTTAAATCTGTGTCTTGTCTAATACCTTTACAAACCAACTCAAATAATTTCTCTTTGGCTACTTTTAACTCCCTTCTTCAAAAATCCGGAAAAATATTTATTATGGCAGTTTCTAATTCTTGGTTTTTGTTCTCTAATTCATTGATTAAAGCCTCTTTTTGAATGTTTGCATTGCTCTTTCGAACATTTTCTCGCTCATTTCGCTCTTCTAGTTTATTTTTACAATTCCAACAGCATTTAAAACCATTCAAAGTGGCAGTTTCTTTTAAGTTTTGGAAGGAGCAAGCGGAACAACCATGCTTAAAACAGTAATTCGATTTTTGACCTTTGAGAACAATTGCTCTATTAGTCCTACATTTTCCGCTTTTGATTTCTCTACCAAACCTTTTTTTTACTTCATTGGAATATTTGCATTTTTTTATTTTTTTGTTATTGTTTACGGGGGGCATATTTTATTGTTAAAACTATATATGATTAATATATTTATATTTTAGTGCCAAAAAGTAAATTACCTTATTATTATCAATTAGAATTAAAGCGTCAAAAAAATACTCTCAATCTAATCGCCAGTGAAAATTATCCTTCCCAAAAAATTTTATTTTATAGCGGTTCAGTATTAATGGCTAAGTATTCCGAAGGTTATCCCGGCAAACGCTATTATCAAGGCTGCCAATATATCGATAAAATAGAGGAATTAGCAATAAATAGAGTTAAAAAAATATTTGGAGCGGAATATGCTAACGTTCAACCGCATTCCGGAGCACAGGCTAACCAAGCGGTCTATTTAGCCCTTTTAAAACCGGGCGATAAAATATTAAGTTTGAACCTTTTGTCCGGCGGACATTTGACCCACGGAGCCAAAGTTAACTTTTCAGGAACTTTCTACCAAGTTCACTATTATAATTTAGACCCCCATACCCACCAATTAGACTATCAACAAATTAGAAAAATAGCCCACCAAGTTCAACCAAAATTAATTATTACGGGTTATAGCAGTTATAGTTTAAAAATAGATTTTGCTGAGTTTGGGAAAATCGCGCAGGAAGTAGGAGCCTATTTGTTGGCTGATATCGCTCATGTAGTAGGATTAGTAGTTGCTAAATTATTTCCTAACCCATTTCCTTATGCAGATGTAATTACTTTCACCACTCACAAAACCTTACGGGGACCACGCGGAGCAGTGATTTCAGCCCATAAAAAATTCGGTGGTTTAATTGACCGAGCCGTTTTTCCAGGCAACCAAGGTGGACCGGCTCCAAATATTATTGCGGCCAAAGCCGAATGTTTTCAGGAAGCCACCCAACCCGAATTCAAAAAATACCAACAAAAAGTATTAGAAAACGCCAAAACTATGGCAGATTTTTTTTTGGAAAAAGGAGTAAAAGTAATTAGCGGCGGAACTGAAACTCACTTATTAACTATTGATACTAAATTAAGTTATAATTTAACTGGTAAAGAAGCGGCGGAAAGTTTGGAAAAAGCAGGGATTATCTGTAATAAACAAATGATACCTTATGATACTGAAAAGCCTTCGGTCGGGAGCGGTATTCGCTTTGGTTCACCGGCTTTAACTACTCGCGGATTAGGAAGTAAAGAATTTCGAAAAATGGCGGAAATTATTGATTTACTATTAAGGAATTACAAAAATCAAAAAATAGTAAAAAGGGTTAAAAACCAAGTTTATTATTTAATTCAAAAATTTCCCTTAAAAATCTAGTTCTAACTTCACCGAAAAAAAACCAAAAAAAATCTAGTCTAAAAAGCAGATAAGTAAAACAAAGTGCGGAGATTATTCTCTGCCTAATAATATTAAACTATTTCAGAATCCAAAACTAAATAACTATATTTTTATATTCTAATTAATTTATAATTATATTTTTCAAAATAAATAATCTCTTTTTTTATTTTCTCGGAACAAAAAAAAATAATCACTAAAAGAGTAACAACTGACGCAATTCCTCAAATAGAAAAAATAACAATCACGAATATTCGGTCTTTTTTATCCTGTCATTTAGCACACTTTTTACAATAAATCTCGCTTCCATATCGTCCTCACCCATTTACCTTTCAATAACCACTAGTTTTTGCCACTTCCTCACCTTCTTTTATTTTTTTATAACATTTACTACGTAGCATTCGTTTATTAAATAGGATATTATCGTGAATTGGATAATATAATAAGTCTGTAATTCACAAATTAAGTGGTGAATAATTCAGATAGCATACTTATTATATAGTTTTCCCCCTTAAAAAACCCCCTCCTCCCTTATAATAGTGTTTAATTAGATACAGTTTCTGATAAGGATTACGAGGTGCTTCTATCTTGGTAATAGCATAGCATTCATCTACTTCAAAACAGCTTTCATCAACTGGTTGTCCGCCACCTTAGGGGGTGGAAAATAATTTTATCAAATATCACATAACTACCATTCTCATTTTTCCCTACTTCTAATATCTCAAATTCTAATTTATCTAGGTAAGTATCGGTATAGTAAACTCTTTGGTAGAAATATTAATCATTATCATACTTCTCGCATATTATTCCCACAAATAGGACAAGGATAACCTTGACTTGATACTACTGAATAACTCTCGGTTTGCATTCGAGTTTTACATTGGTAGTTAGAACATTCATAACTTCTCATATAGTATATTCATAATATAGCAGCGGATAGTTTTAAAAAACTGGTGGAGATGATGGGATTGAACCCATGTCCTTAGACGGCTGTAATTACTTCTACAATTTAGTTTATTTAGTGAATTTCCCTAATTAGTATTAATAAACGAATACATTTAATTAGGTAGGATATTTTTTTTAAATAGAACAATTAACAAGTAAATAAAACAAACTTTAATAATTGACCCAAATTTTATGCGAACCGATTCGAATTGGGCGAGCCGGCCAGAACTAGTTAAGAACTATAAATTATATTCTTGCGTAGTTGTATCCGTAGTTGTTATTCAACAATTCTACTGGAATATTGTGGTTGTTTTCGTCTTGATTTTTTTTCAAAACTTTTATTGCCATAATTACTGACCTAAATCTAAGTCAAAACTCACATCCCCGTGTGATTATATTTTCTTTATCATCTATATTATATTTTAGTTTGACACCGAAAGTAATTGAGTGGTGAAGGAGGGTTATTTTCTTTTGTATTTGGAAAATTCAGGTTAAAATTATTTTATATGAGTTTAAGATTTGAGAAAAGAATATTTTCGGGTCTTAATGATAATAATTTCGCGCGAGAAAAATAAGTAATAAATTATGAAACTGGTTATTTGATGGTTAACTTTAATGTTGGTTTTGCCTCTTGCCTTGCTTTTTTGGCGAAAGAAGAATTGAAGACTACTAATTGGGGTTATTATAGGGATAATTCTGTTAATTGGTTATTTTTTGCCGGAGGAAATAATTTATTCAACCATAAAAAGAGAATTAGAAAAAAGGGTGGAAAAATCTTGGCAAAAGTTAAATGCTGCCTTAAAAAATATTTCTGATTCTACCATAAATCCCTCCGACCCTGAAAAATTAAGATTAGAAAAAGTTATAATTGAATCTCGGAAGCAAATTGAAAACTATAAAAAAGAAATGAAAGAGGGGAGAGGAATTACCTCATTGGAAAATAAGCATTTGAACGAATGCATAGAATTAAAGTTTTTATCAGAAAAGAAATGAATTGAAGAATATGGCAGAAAAGAAAATTCTCAACCGCTCTTGTTTTGCGGCGAAGAGTTTAACGAAGGACTAAAACGGAAAAATTGACATTTAGACCTCCAAACCATTGATTTCGGGGATAGTAGGAACAATAATTTAGAATTTTTTCGAAAAAAACTCCAACAAGTCGACCAACGAGGAGAAGAGGAAATGGAAGCAGGTTCTTATTTTTTTTTGGTTTGGTTAAAAAATATCGACAAAATTACTAGTTCGGAGTTGAAAAATGAATTATTGAAAATGGTTGACCCGACTAAAAATACTGACTTGGGGGAATATAAAAGGGAAATTCGATACGGACAAAAAACTTACCTGATAAAAAAAAAGATTAATTTTTCTAAATTTATACTGGTAGCCACTACTTCTACTACTAATCCAAAATTGTCTGATGAGTTAAACCCGAAAATAATTCGGATCGAGGAGCCTTTTTTTGACAAATATTCAGGGACTGTTTTTTTGGTCTCGGGGGGAATAGAAATTATTGTTTTTTATTTGCTTATGAGAGGAAAGGAAAGTAAAAAAAAAGAAAATAAACTAAAAAAATACTTTAAATAGACCCCGAATTTCGGACTTGCCAGAAGCATTAATCAAAGTTAGGATTAATTAAATTAAATATATGTCAACTATAAAGTTTCGTTCCAAAAAAGCCCTTAGCAAACGTTTTAAAAATCTATCCAAAGGCAAATTAAAACATTGACACGCTTATACTTCTCATTTAGCCAGTAATAAGTCTAATAAACAAAAAAGACATTTACGAAAAAGTGCTTTATTGGATGTTAGTGATTGAAAAAGGGTAAAAAAAATGGTGAGGTAATAAAATAATAATAAAATTATGAATGCAAAATTAGTCGAACTTTTTAGCAAAAGGCATTTTTGAGAAAGGAAAAGGGATAGTTTATATAATCGATTAATATGAAACGGATATTTCGGTTTTGTCTTTCTTTTTTTGAACACGCTTTCTCTTATTAAATGGGAGGGGAAAACGATAGTGGAAATTATAACTTGTTCCTTTCTTTTTCTTTTTTGACTGTTTATTTATGCTAGGAATGTTTTTGATTGCTATTATAAACTTCCTCGCTATCGCCGAAAATTAGACCAAATAAATCTCCAAATTATCGAAGAATTGAAAAAAATATCTAACCACCATTAAAACAAAATAAGGAAGTGTACCCAAGTGGTTGAAGGGGCCAGCTTGGAGAGCTGGTGTATGCTTAATAGTATACCGGAGGTTCGAATCCTCTCACTTCCTCCAAATTAAAATATGAATAACCAAATTTCTTTTCTGATTTCTGTTAATTCCCTCGGAGAGGAAGTTGAGACTTATAGTTGGAAAGGAAAAAAATTTTTAGTGGTTGGTTTTGAAAAAGGTTTCAGTTTCGTTAATGGTCCATTTCGGTTTTTGCTAGTCCCGGACGACAATTCAGAATTGGTTAAGCAAATTAAAACTGGAAGTGCTGGTGGCAGTTATTTTTCCACTTCTTTTACTAATTTAAAATTACTTAAACCAGAGCCTTGAATAATAAAAGGAAAAAAATATTATCGCCAATTTTTATTAATAAAGGATACTGAGGAGATAAAAAAAGTTGAAGCCGAACCATTACCTAGTTTAATTACTTTCAAAGTTATTAGTCAAAAAAAGACCACCGCTGAAAGAAGTGAAAATCCGAGTGATTATAATCATGAATTAGAAATTGAACCGCTTTACTTAGGAATGGAAGGATTACCGCCTATTACTCGGCTGATTTTTGAGTTTTTTGACGACATTAACCCTTCCTCGACATCACCCAGACTTTTAAAAAACAGCAAAATTTACAATAGCGATATTTTGACAAAGAGTGCCGGAAAAAATTTCACTATGAAAGTTAAAAATTGAGGAATTAAGATTGGCAACAAACAACTCAGTCTAGTTCTTTGAAGTGATTATAATTTTGACTGAAACAGTTTTGAGGAAACGAAAGAGAATAATTCAAATACTCTCAAAACATTTTTAATAGTGAGTGGAATAATCAGCGGATTTTTGCTAATTATCTTTTTTTTTTACTTTTACAAAAAAAAAAAAAACTCGGTTTGTCTAAAAAATAAATATGCTTTATTAGTCCGAAAAAAAGAAAAAAGTATTTTAGACAATTACAACTATTCTAACCAGCAAAAGTAGAATGAGGAAAATTAATAAAAATTGAAAGAGTTCTAACTAGTTTTTAGTGGCGTAAAACCCTTTCTTGCCCCCACTGTTTTTTTTTTTTTTTTTGTAAAATAGATTTGAAGTCGCTTAAAAAGATTTCGTAAAATAAATATAATTTATCATTATGGCAAAAAATATAAGAGAGGAAATTAAAGAATTGATTCAGCAATTTCAAACTAATTATCAGGAAGGAATTGATTATGAATCCGCTAGTGGAAGTGAAGTTGCCAAGTTAGGAGTGGAACATATTCGTATTCTTTCACCTCGTTTGCGACAGTATTGTCGAGAGAGATTTCATTTTCCGCCTGGTGTTAGTGACTATTTGGATTACTATAAGGAGAACCAACAGGAAGGGGCTATTTTTTATCGAACCTCAAAAACAAACGAATATGAATATTTTTGGTGATATGATAGGCAAATAGCCGGACATCATAATATAGATAAAAGAGAAAAAAACCCTAAAAAATGTGCGGTCTGTAATAAATTAACCTTTAAAAAAGATGGTCGGATAAAATTGTGAAATGGCGAAGTTGTCTATATTAGTTATGGAAAGGTTTGAAAGCCTTCGCCGGTGGCTTATTTCCACCCCCAATGCTCGCCAAAATACTTTGCTGATAATAAACGCCAACCAAGCGAAAAAAATACCCAAATAAAAGAAAAATTATTGCGAAATTTGGATAAAATATGTTTAGACCCGTTGGGTGAATTGGCTAATGCTGAATTGTTAAAATCCGACCAAGCGATAAAAAATTATGATTTATCGAACTTGAATGATTATAAAGCGTGGTTAAAAAAAGTTCATTCGCTAGAAATAGAAGGAGAGGAAATATTTTTAGAAAACTCTATCCCTATCGGTTCATATGATTATCAAGTAATCAAAAGAGCATTGTTGATAGAAATTAAGCAAAATCCTTCCGAATGAGAAATTATTCAAGTCGAAAATTGTAGGGAAAACTTATTATCTATCGATGCAATAAAACATAAGTCGGGACGGGAGACATTGAAAACTCGGTTTTTATCATTTTTGGAGTAATGGAGAGAAAGGAATAAAAGAATGGGACCAAATTGAAGGATTATTAAAAGATGATAATAGAGAATTAAAAAATTTAAAAATCATTTTCCAAAAATTAAATATTAAAAAAATAACTTTTGAAAGTGGCAAATTAACTATTGAATATAATAATAACCAAGTTATCTCGGTTGAAACAAACACTAATAACCAAGATTTTCAAGCATTAAAAAAATATTGTCAAGAGCATAATAAAAAAGAAATTGACCGAAAAAAGTTAGGTATTAGTTCTGATAATTCAACCAATTCTTCCCCCTCTAACCCTAATAATAATCACTCCTTAGTTGTCGGTTTTGCCCTCGGAGCCGGAGCAGTCAGTTTAGTAGGAATAATCTCTCTAATTCTATCCCGCAAGAAAAGAAAACAGTTAAAATAATTAAATATAAACATGCTTATCCAAAAACCAATTTTAAGTGAAAAAAGTCAATTAGTTTACCACCAAAATAAGGTCTGTTCTTTTTATGTCTTGCCCTCCGCCAATAAATTTCAAATCAAAAAGGCATTCGAGGAAATGTTTGGAGTGCGGGTCAAAAAAGTTCATACTAGTCGCCAAAAACCAGTGCTTCACAAAGTTCGTTATCTCCAAAAATCTCCGACTAGGATTTATACTAAACTTCGCAAAAAAGCATTTGTTAAATTAATGCCGGGTCAAAAACTTTCTGGATTCTTTGAGGAATAAGTAAGATAGTGAAAGCAGTAAAAAGATTTTACTAAACAAAATTTTTATAGTAAAATAATTATAATTTTTTCTGAGTAAACTACTATTTTGCTATTTTTGGTAGAAAACAGAGAAGGAAAACACTCCGAAAACAAAAATTTAAGATTTGATTTTGATTTGAGTCCAATAACCAACGAGGATAAATAAAAGATACTAAAATAATTATTATGTTAGAACTTAAAATACCAATTCCGTATGTTATTCTCTGTGCTATAATATTACTTTTGATAGGATTTTTAATTGCTTATGTTGTTATCAACTATTTTGTTAAGAAACAAGTCCGAAAAATGCAAGAACAAATGGAATCACTCGATAAAGACCAAATAAGAAGCACTTTGTCTTCACTCGGTCAAAGGCCTTCGGAAGAACAAATAAACCGAATTATTAACTTAACCGAAAGTGCTAAAAAAAAACGAGAAGAGTTAAAAGTTCAAAAACCAAGAAAGAAGAAAACTAAATAATCATGCGGGCTAATTTATTTCTAAATTGTGGAAGTTGTTCCAAAAAACACCGCAATTATCGGACCTCGAAAGCCAAAAAACCCCAAAGCAATAAATTAAATTTAAAAAAATATTGCAAATTTTGTCGAAAAACTCAACTACATAAAGAAGAGGCTTCTAAATAAAAATATTTTCGCTCGAAACATTTTTTCTCTGTTTTTTTCCGACCCCCCCCCCCCCCTCCAAAGTGTTTATAATCGCTTGTCAGTAATTTAAAAAGCTTAAATCTCTTAAAAGAATGAGGTTGAAACGAAAATCAACTGATATTAATTATTGGTATTGTAATAACTTATTTTTTATCTGAAATTTTAAAAATTTTTAATTACTGAAAAACGCTAAAATTGTAATAATTTATTGGAATTATTATTTTTTTGTCTAGAATTAAAGGTCTAATTCCTAACTCTTTGGATTTTTCAAGGAAACAGTGCCGCGTTAATCTTTTCCCTCTTCAAACATGTAGATAGCCAGAGGATATGACAAATTAAATTTTTGGTTTTTGTAATTTCATTTACTCCCTTTGGGGGTTTCAACAATTTTTCCATAATTTTCCTTCGTTTTTTTGGCTTTTTGTCAGCGTCTATATAATAAATTTCGGGCCGTTCTTTTGATTCTAGCCAAAGAATTTGTTCAAGTATTCAGTTCCTTCAAATTGGTCAGGTTGGGAAAATTCTTGCCGTTTGAAAGGAGAAGACTGTTAATATAATTTTGGATATATTCCGATATTTTTTTAAAACTTACTTTTTGCTTTGTTTTGGGGTACCTCCCTATTCCTCTAACGAGGGTTTCGAGGGATTTTTTTCAATCTATCTCGCCTTCCGATTTTAAGTTTACATCTTCTGCACTATACAAGAGAACAAAACTTTCTAAATTAACCTCTTCTAATTTTTTTTCAAATTCAGCCTGAGTAGGGGAATAAAAAAAAGCAGGAGGCGAATATTCTTTCATAATTTTTTCAAAAAATTTTTCTCTATTTAACCAGTCCTTTTTTTGGCTAAACTCTTCTTTTCATTTTTCTATTTGGGCATAATCTAGTCGGGAACTATTTTTCACTAATTCTTTTTCTATTTTTTGTTTATCTCCTTGATTTGCGTTATATCTTCATATTGCCTCAATAAACTCCGCTCTGGCTTCTGTTTCGGACATGTTTGGGGAAAAGAGAGGTTTAAAAGTAGAATAACCAGATTCGGGGTCTATATAGCCATTACTCTTAAACTTTCCATGGATGTCGCTATCTTCCTCATTTTGAACCGCAGAAGAAGAACCAGAACTATTTTTTTGCCAAAAAAAGAAACCTAAACCCGCCGCTAATAAAACAACTACTACTAGAACAGTGATAATTATAAACTTGTTCGTTTTTTTTTTTTTTTTCATCATGACAATAATTTATATTTTTATATTTTTTTGGCTAGTTCTATTATTTAAAGTAATCTACTGCTTCCGCTACCAAAATTAGGAAAATTGATTTTCTTTTCCCGATAAAGAAATTTTAAATTAAAGCCTATTTTAAGAACTAAATTAATGCCGAATATTCAATTTAAAGTTTATAAACCATTTAAGGAAATTTCCGAGCCGAAAGGGTTCCGTCATTATTGCGGGATAATAAGCAACTTTTTGGAGTGCCATCAAAATAAATACCATATTTAGCATTAACTATTCGCATGGCCGGAATTAGTTGGTGTTTAATGGCCGATTTCCTATTTTGTTCGGAATAACCTTTTTTAACTTCCGCCACACAGATAAATTGGTTCGCTTTTTTAATTACTAAATCTACTCGTAAAGTATTATGTCCTTTATGTCCGATAGGAATTGCATATTCGATAATAAAATAACTTTTAGGATAACCTTTTTTTTGGAGCAAATACCGAATTAACCTAATCCTTTGGTATTCTTCGGTATAATTACCCTCCGTATCATATTTTTTAGCCCGCACCATACCCCGAATAGGGCAAATTAATAAATTTTTATCTTTTTTTTGTTTCTCGGTTTTAGTTTTTTTCGCTCCGACTATAAAAATAATAAAAAATAAAATTAGGAGTAAGGCGACTGAACCAATAATTATCGCTCAATTTTCTTCAAAAAAAACTTTTCAATCCATATTTTAATAAAATTTTAAGTAAGAAATGACACCGCCTTATAGTTTTTTTATAAGTTACAAATTTCCCATTTTTTTTAAAAGTTTAGATAAAAACTAAACCAAAAAGAATAAAAAATATTAATATTATGAACTGTAATCACCCTAAAAATCATTGCCACCAATGCGAAAAAGCGAAACACTGAGACTTTTATTTTGCAATATTATCTGCTATTTTTGCTTTTGTTATTCTTTATTATTGGGGTTGAGAAGCCTTTACTGCTTTTTGACCTTTCTGGCTCACCGTTGGGATAGTATTAGTGGCTGGTTTAGTAGTGAACTGAGAAACTTGAAAAAAAAGAAAAAAATAATTAAATTATGAATGGAACAAAAATAGATTGCTTATTCTGCGAAATTGTTAGCCGAAAAAAAACCGCCTATGTAGTGGCGGAAAATGAAGGAGCGGTGGCAATTTTAGATATTATGCCGGTCAGCGACGGTCATGTCTTATTAATCACCAAAAAACATTTTGCTAATATTAGTGAGATAGAGCAAGAAAGTTGGGGTTATTTATTGCCTTTAATGAAAGATATTATTGGTAAGTTAGAAGTAGTTTTTAAACCGGCCGGATTTAATATTATTAGTAATATGAACCAAATCGCTTTTCAAAGTATTTTTCACCTCCATATCCATATTATTCCCAAATATGAAAAAGAAAAAGGGTTCATTTGGACCGCCCAAACCCACTTAAAATATAAATTAGAGGAAGTAATCAAAAAATTGAAATAAAGCACCCTCGCCGACTACTTTAAAGTTAAAATGTTATAATAAATATAACTAAACTAAAAAAATTATGCTTATCAATATCACTATTGAAACCACTAAAAATAAATGTTCTTTTAATTTCGCTCGATATTTTTTCTCAGGCAAAATAACTATCCGAGAACAGGGAGGGAATGAAATCGCCGAAATCAGCATTGATTCGGGCACTTCTGATAACTCTAATCAAAGAATAAGAACTGATACTTTAAATGGAATTTATTTAGGTAAACAACTTTTGGTTGGTGTTGTTAATAATCCCTCGAATTTAAACCTTTTTAATGAATTAGAATTTATTCTTGCTTGAAATTTCAGGGAAAAAGGTGCGGAGGAACAATTTACCTTAACTTTCCAAAATATTCATTACCATCCTACTCATCATCCCCTTTACTTAAATAGAAATTTAGGTTTCGGAAGTGTCGATAAACAACTTTTTTTATCTAGTTTAAATTGACAAGAAAAAAATGGTGAGAATTGGGAACCCGAAAGAGAAATCGATTTATGGTCGATAGTTGATTGGGGAACCAATGAAACCAGATTAAAAAATGAGTTGAGGGGATTTATTGACTTGCTGAAAAGGCAAGAAAGAATTGAAAGGGATAGAGAAAATTTTACCATTCAACAAATTACCAACTTTCAGCCGGATTTTGAAAGATATCAACAGCCCGAAAAGCGAGAACTATATGAGTTAGAAAGTTTTTTTGGTTCTCTTCTTCCTGGAAATAGACAAATTGTTAAGCGGTTTGTCGACCATAATTTAGAAAAAATTGAAGAATTAAAATTGTGGCTAGCCACCGCAATACCAAATCTCTCCTTGGAAATGGTAAACCAAGCCTCGCTTAATGAGTTTGATATAAGGCGGGATAAAGACCAAATTAATCCCCAAGGTCTCTATAAGGGTTTTAGTATTTTTCGCACTGATGCCGAAGAACCTGCGAGTAGACCCTGAGAAAAAAAATATCTCTACTCTAAACCTAATTTTGACCTTTTTCGCCAATTTTTTCCCAATAATCCGGACCAAACCGACCCTACCTATTTTCGCGGTTTCCAGCCGGGCGATTTGGGAAAAGATAACCAAGGAAATACTGTCTATGTTTCGACTAAATCTCGCCGAAGTGGTTTAAACGGCAGTTATAAAGTTGACCCAGTTGAAAAATCCCATACTAAAACTTTTTTTGACCTCCGAGAGGCAAAAAGTTTGGAGGATTTTTTGGAAATACTGACTATTAACCCCACCGCTTACCAAGAAATACCGGGAGCAACAAAATCCGAACATTTGCTTCAATACCAAAAAGCAATTGACAAAACCACCGGAAAATTAACTTTTTGAAATTACTCTAATAAACCGAAACAATTAGCCGATTTTTTGTCGGCTCTTTCCGAATTATTTAAGGTGCTGGATAAATCCGACTATTCCGCCGCTGATTTAGCCACTTGCCAAAAAGATTTGGAATTTTTGGAGAAAATGAATGATTTGAGTTTGAGCGAGGCCGGAAAAAAAATAAAAAATCGTTTTTTGACTGAAATCACCGCTCAGAAAACAAAAATATCACAACAGATTGCTGCCCTCGGTTCTAATTTACCCGACCAAATACGAGTTGCCGCCCAAGCGAAATATGGTCCCGACCAAAACAAAAATTTAACTGCCGAGCAAGCCCAAATTTTCACTACTCATGCCTCCCAAATTACCAGTCCGGAACTGCTGAACCAAATTAAAGAATTGCTTAATTTACTAGTGGAAGCCGAAAAAATTAAACCAAATGACCGCCCCGCGGTTATCAATCTATCTCTTACCAACTTAAAAAAATCATACCAGAACGGCACCGGAGACAAAAAATTGGCTTACGCCACGGTTAATAAAGTGGATAATCGGTGAGTTGACCGACTTATTATCCAACTAGAAAATTATGCTGAAACTAACCGCAGTTTAACCCAAAAAAGAACTGAATTAAAAAATAAATGGAATAATCAGGTAGTGGCTCGGAAAGTTTTTGAGGCTTCCGTTTTGGATAGTATTCCGGCTTTGGAGGAAGCCGAAAAATTACTAGTTAAAGTTCAAACCGCCCAAGCCCAAAAAGAAGTTGACTCTTCTTTGCTAACCGAGTTAGAAAATTATTCCTCCGCTCCGCGGGGAGAAATTAAAAATAAGGCTTATCAAGCGGTTAATGGTGATAAAAAGCGAGTTCAAAAGGCGTTAGAACATTTGCGAGAAATATCCCAAAAACGAATAAAAATAGTGGAAGGATTACAAAATGCCCGAAACCAAACGGAATTGGATACTGCTTATCAGACCATAAAAAATTCTGATTTTTATCAGAGTGAAAAAAATCGCCAGTTAACCGATAAAATTCACACTCGCAAAAAAGTTTGTTTAGAAATTGCCTCCGACAATTCTATTTCTGCTCCGCTCAACCAATTTCTTCAAAATAACCTTATCAAAATAATTCCGGAATCAATTCAGAACACTGCCAATGAAGCCGAATTAACCCGCTTGGAAAGTGAACTAAAAGGATTTTTGAAGGCCGGAAAAGGAGAGGAAAAAGAGCAAATTTACCAAAAATATCAAGGCGTTATAAATGATATTTTGACCGAAATTAGTCAAGAAAAACAACGATGAAATCAAGTCAGTCAAAACACTATTAATCCTAATCTAGGAACCGGCGATTTACCAATTTGAGCGGTAGGACTAATTATCGGCGGGATAATTCTAGTTTTCGGGTTAATAGTCATTGCTTTACGCCTTTTTATACAAAAAAAGAAGATAAAGAATAATCTCTAAATATTATTTATAATTTTTTTACAGCGAAAACAAAAATTATTTTGGCAATCTTGATAATTTCAACATCTTAGGCAACGCTCCTGGTTAGTTTTATCTACTTTCACCAAACAAAAACTTCTTTCTTTGGTTTGTTCGAGCCTTTTTTGGCTGAAATTAACTTCGGACACTAATAATAATTCTTTTAGATTAAGTTCGGAATAGTTTCATTCCTTTTCCTCTTTCAAATAAATTGTCAAATTGGCTTGTAAATTAGTGGTGATAATTTTTTTTTGGCGGGCTTTTTCTAAGGCTTGGTAAGCGTCTTGCCGTAAGGGGAGAAAAAAATCAGTAATTAATCCCAGTTCCTTTTCTTTCTCCGGAGAAAGTTGAAAATTAGGAAAATGATTTACTAAATGAACGCTTGCTTGGTTTGAAATTCCGAACTGGAAGGGAATATTTTGATAAACTTCCTCCGCCAAAAAAGGCAACATAGGAGAAATAATTTTTAATAATCCTGCTAACAAATAATAAAGGGTGGTGATAATTTGTTTTCTCCGCGGTGAATTTAAACTGTCGCAATATAAACTGTCCTTGCTAATTTCAAAATAAAAAGAACTTAAATCATTAATACAAAAATTCATTAAAGAAGAAAAAATAGGGTTAAAATTGTATTCGCTATATTTTTTTTGGCTTTCTATGGTTAACTTTTCTAATTGGAGAAGAATATAATAGTCTACTAAACTTAATTCTTTTTCAAAATCTTTTTCACTTTTCAATTCCGGTGGTAAATTGGCTAAATTGCCTAACAAAAAACGGAGAGTATTGCGGATTTTTTGATAACTTTCTTGGATATTTTCTAAAATCGGAATGCTGACTTTTATTTCTTTGGTGAAATCCGAACTTACTACTCATAAACGCAAAATATCAACTCCGAATTTTTTAATAAGTTCTTCGGGGTCAATAACATTACCCAAAGACTTAGACATTTTATATCCTTTTTCGTCCACTACGAACCCATGGGAGAGAACTTGTTGATAGGGCGGACAACCGCTCAAAATAACCGAAGTAATTAGAGAAGAATTAAATCAGCCGCGAAATTGGTCTTTGCCTTCCACATAAAGGGTAGCAGGTAAGTGAGGTTTTTTTTTAGTTTCGATTAAACTTTTATTTTTGTTATTCATTTTTAACATTATTTTTTTAATCCTTTTTTAAATTCATATTTAAATAGTAAACTTTTTTTCATATAATCACTTATTTTTTGACATTCCTGTTGGTTATTTGGAATTCAAATCATTATTTCCTTTATCCTTTCCCCTATTGTCGGAATTGTCCCTTGGGTAAAAATTAACTTTTTTATTTGCTTTACCACATATTCTTGATTAAGAAAATAGAGAAAATTAAAATTATCTAAATTTATTTCATTAGTGTTTATCCTCAATTTAAAAAGATGACTTTGTAAAATTATTTTTTCTTCTCCGGGCATTATCATTGCCGTTTCTCCTATTCTTTCCATTCCATCTTTCACAAAAAGTATGTCGTGAGTTTTTATGTCTTGGTTTTCTCGGCAATTTTCATAAATTTCAAGGTTGACTCACTTTTGTGGTCTCCTTGTCATTTCTAAATTTTGAATGTCCGAAGTTCTAATGAAAGGAACCAACCCTTCTTGGTAAGGCAAGTAAAAATGACTGTCGACTGCTTTACCGCGGGGAATGTTTTTATTTTTATTAGTGAATAATATGTTTTTTTCAATAAGTTCTCCAATGCTTATAAAAAAACCTTCCTCTTTTTTATTTGCTTTTAGTTCACTCAATAATTTTAAAAATCCATTATAGTAAGTAGGAATTAGGAAAAGATTCCGGGTTTCTTTTATCTCTTTGGCTAATACATAAAAAACTTTATTTTCTTTGTTAGTTTGTGTATAGTGAGGAAGATTGATTTTCTTGCTTTCTAAAAGAATATCACTTAATTCATCATTGACAACAAAATTTCCTTGTTCGTCTTTTAAGGGAACGCCATTATTATTGTATCTGTATAGCGTGTCGCCTCTTTTATTATGTCCTATTTTTTGAATGTTAGCAAAGATAACTTTACTCTCTTCATCATAATTTTTATTCTCTAAAATCAAAATAGAACTTTTATTTCCTGTAAATGGTTCAAAAGTTTCTTGCGGAATATTAAATATTGCTAATAAATTATAATTTTCTAACAAAAATTCTCTAATTTTTCTATAATTTTCACTTTCGTTGCCGAAAATTCCTTCGGGGAGAACAATAGCTAATTTACCATTTTTTTTCAGTAGTCGTAGGCATAATTCCAGAAATAATATCTGAGGTTGTATCGCTTTGTCTTTTTCTTTACGCCAAAAAGAGAAATTTTTTAAAATTTTTTCGTCTTCAACCGCAATTGTTTTTCCAAAAGGTGGATTAGTAACCACAATTTCATATTTTTCTTTCCAGTTATCAGTAAACTTTGCCAAACTGTCTTCATTCCAAATATTAGAACTTCCATCTCCAAGAATACACATATAGGCTTTACAGGCTTGGGCTAAAAAACTATCTTTATCACAACCAAAAATATTTTTTCTCGCCACTGCAATTTTCTCCCTTTTTATCTCTTCTTTTTCTCATTTTTTTTGCGATAAATTTTTATCCATCTGCTTTCAAACATATCGTAAAGATTCAACAATAAAGCCGCCTGTTCCGCAAGCCGGATCAATTATTTTCTGGGTTTCGTTTACATCCAAAAAATTAATCACAAATCGCACCACATTTCGCGGAGTAAAAAATTGTCCGTGTTCTCCTTTTAAGGCAGTGCCGATAAATACTTCGAAAGCATCAGCCACCGCGTCGCGACCGGAATTTTTAAAACTAATTCATTGTAATTTTTGAACGATAAGGACTATACTTTTATCATCCATTTTAATTTCCTCCGATTTGTCAAAAACATCTTCAAACTTGTTTTTAACCTTAGCAAAAATTATTCGAACTTTTTCAGAACTCTCCCGAAAATTACCATCATTAGCATAGAAATTCACAAATCCACTTTCACTTTGATATCTTTCATCAAAAATTTTGCAAAACAAAATTTTTAGAACATTTTTGGCTATATCAGGTTCGTTAGTGCTACCAATAACCGTTTTTTGGAGGTTTTTTTTAATTTGATAAAAAACACTTTTTAGATTTTCGCGAGGCTTTAATTCCTCATAACGAGGATGAGTTTCTTCTCAAATTCCAAAAGGCAAAATATCGTTTAATTCTTTGAAGTTAATTCCTCGGTCAGTTTCGATTTTTTTCAAAATTATCCTCTCCTTACCATTAAATCAAACCCCGATTTTGGCTTCGCACATTCGCAAGTATCTTCTCAGTTGTTCCTTACCTTCCTGTGATGATATCTTTTTACACTCGCAAATTATCTTCAAATTTTTATCTTCGAAAACTGCAATGTCAACTGGATAACTTTTCTTTTCATCAGAAGGAGAAAGGGAGATACGGAACTGAGGATGAGTTTTTATTTCGTTTTTATTGTAGCCATAAACTTCTACTAATTCTTGGGCTAATGGTTGAACGGCTTCTATTTCTTCCGGAGTAGCGTTTACTTTTGCTCCTGAAATATAATCAATTATTTTATTATTCATTTTTTTGTTAATCAATTTTAAAGAAGTTAAAAAAAATTTCTTATATCAAAAAGTAGCAAGTTAGTTATTATTATCGTTCGGTAAATAACTTTTTAATGGTGGCAGAAAGAGGATTCGAACCTCCGACCTGACGAATATGAGTCGTCTGCTCTAACCGACTGAGCTACTCTGCCTTTTAATAAATTTTTTAGATATTATTCGAGTAGCATTCAATCTTTTTCTTTGACAATTACTAAAAAAACAGAATAAGGAACTGAAACTTATGAAATAAAATTGTATAAATAAATATAGATAATTTTACAGGTGCCTATGGTTTTTAAAAGTTCGGTAATTAGGTAATTTACTCAACCATCAACTTTCGAATTTTATATACCGTTTTTAGTAATATTATTCTTCCCCTTAATTTTTATTAAAATGAAAAGCAAAAAAACAAATTTTGCTCTAAAAAAGAAAAAAGGTTGCTGAGAAAAACATGGATTTGTTTGGATAAAATATAAGCATTGTTGGTTTATATGAGGTATATATTCTCTCCTTTTTCTTACTAAAATAATTTTAAAAAAAGATAATATGCAAGCAATTGAATGAATAATGATAATTCTTTTCGGTCTCGCTCCGATTATTGTCGCGATATTCACCTATTTTTCTCAGAAAGAAAAAACCAAAGCCGAAACCGAAAAAATTAAATTGGAAAATAAAATTACCAAAGATATAACTTACAAAAAGTTAAAAAACGAAAGCAAACACAAGGATATCAAAAACAAAATTGAAGTTTTTCAAAGTTTAGTAAAATTAGAAGAAGAAATCAAAGGCAAAGAAAAATTATCCGCCAGCGACCAAAAAAAAATTAGAATCTTTGGAAATGATAAAAAAGGAATTTAAAGAAACTTTTGCGGAAGAAGCAAAAGAAATTCCCCAACTAGCAGGGCCAGAGGAAAAAGGAGAAGAGAAAAAGAAAATTAGCAAACCGATAAAAAAATTAAAATCGGTTAAATTTAATCGGAAAAGAAAAAGTAAAGAGGAATAACTGTGCTTTATTATAAACGGCTAACTAAAATTCAAAAATATTTGACTTAATTATGTCCCTTTTTGGAAAAAAAATAGCAAAATTATTCCAGAGAGTTGGGAGAAAATCCTTCTATTTATCTAGTTTAAAATAGTCAGTTAGATATTTGGCTACTCCATCGCTATTAAGTAGTCCGAAGTCGGTTATAGCATAAGCATAAGTTTTTAGGTAACTATCACTGTCAGCGGTAACTACCCCTTTACCAACGCTGTGAACTAATTCTATATCGTTAACATCATTACCAAAAGCGATAATGTTATGAGAATTAATTTTGTATTGCCTTGCTACTCATTTCGCCCCCATTCCTTTACTGGCTAATTCATTCCGAATTTTTATTATTCTTCTTTCGGGGTCCGGAACCAAAATTTTGTCTCCGGGTGTTTTGGCTTTTAACTTAGTGCCGAAATAAAAAGTAATTGCATCGCTGTATTTTCTCCGTAAAGTTAACAAAATCTCATTAAAGGTTCTTTCATCTTTCGGAAATTCTAAAACTAATTGTAAAACGTCTTTTTTTCCTAGCAGTTGTAAAATATTTTCTCCTTTGGTGTAAGGATTGCCATTGAAAAATATCTCTTGATAATAAATATCATCGCTGGTGCTAATGGTTTTTAAGTTTATTTCCCCTTCCGAGTTTAATCCATTAACGTGGTCGATTAGAACATTACAGATATTTTTTTTAATTACAGGCTCATCCAAAATGTCCTTTACTACGTTATTTTTAATGGAATGGAACACCACTATTTCTTTATTGTCCTTTTCCGCCGGATTATTAATATAAGCCCCATTATAGGTAACTAAAAAAGTATCCAAACCCACTTCTTTATAAAAAGGTAAAGCGGATAAATAATTTCGTCCGGTAGTAAAGCAAATTTTATGCCCTTGTTTTATTAACTTTTGCAAAACAACTTTTAACTTTTGATTCAAAGTCGAAAAATCCGGATTAGTGCTGGTTCCGTCAATGTCTAATTTAATTAAATGTTTTTCTTTATTGGTTACTTCTATATTCATATATTATATTATTAATTTTAACCCTTATTTTTTAATGCTCTAAACTCTATTTTGGATTTTTTCTTTGCGGACAAGGAAGCAATTCCGTTTTTGGCAATTCAAAAAACCACCCTGATATAAAATTTTCAACTTCTTTCTCTTTTTTTTACTTCTAATTTTCGAGTGAATTTTTTTCTTAATACAAGAAATTTGCCAAAATTAAAATATCATGAATATCGAAAAATTAAACCGCCAATTACTATCCGATAACCTTTCTTTTTCGCTGAAATGCCCGTGGTGTTTGAAAATTATTACTGCTCAAAATTTTTCCGAAGAAAAATTGGCGGTGGTTTATCTCCAAAATTATTTTACTAGCCAAGAAAAACAATACAAGGAAAAATTGTTAGCCGAAATGCAAGAAGTTATTGAGAACTCTCCCTTAGTTATCCAATTGCGAGAAGAAAATAATGCTTTAAAATCTTTTATCGAAGGCTATAAATTAGGCAAAGAATTTGTGAAACCAACTCAAAAAGGCCAGGAATTTGAAGATTTTGTTCATGAAAAACTCCAAGAAATTTTTAGCGGTAATGATATCGTTGAAAATGTTACTCATGCTCGCACTTCGGCAGGAACCCGTGCTGATATTTTACAAATTGTCCGAGGAGGAAACGAATTGGAAAAGGTGGTCGGAAAAATAATTTACGAAGCCAAAAATACGGAAAGGTGGGAAAATAGTTGAGTTGACAAACTGGAAAAGGATATGAAAACCCACCAGGCTGATTTCGGAATTATTGTGGCTACCTGCTATAAGCAACCTTTACTCAAACCCTTTCCACACAAAAATATCTTTTTTACCAATAGCGAAAATTTTGCTTTCGCTGGACAAATTGCTCGTTTGCTTATTATTCAAAAGCATAAATTAGGGGGAAATGATAAACGATTAGACAAAGACCAAAGAATTGATAATTTAGAAAAATGAATTAAGGAAAAAATACCTTATTATGCTGAAAATTTAAATAAATATTTAGATAAATGAGAAAAAGAAATTAATACTATCATGGGTTCAGTTCGAAAAATGATCGAGGCTCGTGATTACATAAGGAAAATGATATTCGAGCAAATGCTTTTTTCGCTGAAAGAATTATAAATTTAAACTATAAGGCAATAACAAAAAACTATTTTATTAAAAATAATTATGAACAAAGAAAAAATAAAATATTATCTAGGATTAGATATTGGAATTGGTTCGGTTGGTTGGGGGATTATTGGCGAAGAAGAAAACGGAAATCACTGACTAGAAGATTTTGGAGTTCGTTTGTTTAATGTTCCCGAAGATCCGCAAAGCAAGAAAACATTGGCTGAAAAAAGAAGAGAGTTTCGGGGAAAGAGGAGATTATTAAATCGCCGGTATTGTCGAAAAGAAGATTTAAAAAAGTTTTTCGGAGAGATTTTTGGAAATGATTTACTTCAAGAATTCAAAAATTTTACGGAAAAGAAAAAAACCACTAATTTATTAAAGTATGATGAAACTAAGTTTTTTAATCCTTATGTTGTTAGATGCAAAGCCTTAAATGAGAAAATTGAATTAGTAGAACTATTGTTTATACTTCTTCATATTGATAAAAACCGAGGATATAGGGATTTTTGGGAAAATTTAGATGGTAATCCAGAAGAAAAGGACAAGGATGACAAAGAAACTAAAACTGCGGTTCAAGCCACAAAGAAATTATTCGAAGAAAATAATTATAAGTCAGTGGCAGAAATGATAGTTAAAAACGAGAAATTTCGCCATTCTCGATACCAAAATTTACTTTCACCTCACAATCATAAACCAGAAAAAATAAAGTGTTCTAACTGCCGTAAAGAAGTAAAAGAAAGTGAAACAAAATTGATTAAAGAAAATTTCTCAAACCTTGCTCTTGCCTACTGCAAAGTTTGTGTAGATAAAAATTGCAAAGATAAAATTGAGGCAAAGAAAGATTATAAACATTTCATCTTCTCTCGTAAATTTTTAGAAGAAGAAACTCAAAAAATTCTAGAAAAACAAAGCGAAATCGAATGTTATTCGCAATTTAAAAGAAAATTTCCCTACACATTACGAGAAAACGGAAAAACCGAAATAAAAGAATTATCGGCTCAAGAAATCATTAAGAAAATAATTTTTCGTCAAAGAGATTTTGAGGATGGACCTGGTCCGCAAGACAAGGAAAAGAGGAATTTGTGAGAAAGAGAAGGAGGCCCAAAGGAAAAGGGAAAAAGACAAGTATGAAAAAAACATAATCGTAACATTACTTTTACTCCTTTTATCGAAACAACTGGTTATTGTGAATATTTCCCCCAAGAAAAAAGAGGCTGGCGTTGTTCACTAATTTATTGTTGCTACCAATTTATTAACGAGTTTTCTAAAATAAAAGAATTAGAAAAAAGAAAAGAAATTCATCAGAAAGTTTTCGACTGATTACTTTCTCCCTCGGGTTATCGATCTATAATTTTGAATAAGGAAGAAAAAAAGAGTGGTAAGAAAAGAGAAAATTTTAGGAAACAGTTAGAAAAATTTCTTGATAAATTAGAGGTGAAACCTAATTTCCCCAAAGAAGGGATTGAGTTTAAAACTAGTTTTTTGGACCTACTAAAAAAAGATTCTAATTTTTATTCAGTTTTATGAAAAAATGTAGATAAAACTTTTTACTTAAATTATGAGGACTATAAAAAGACTATTTTCTTTCAAATCGAAAAAATTATTTTTGAGGATATTTCTCCTTGAAGAAGAAAAGAAAAACTAGATGACTTGTTAAAAAAGCACAGTTTAGACTTTTTTGAAAACTGCTCGGCAATAGATAATTTACAAAAATACAACAAAGAAAGGTCGCCGGCTTCGGTTTCTTTCCGTTATATGGTTGAAACAATTAGAGCATTTTTGGATGGTCAAAAATATGGCGAATTTCAAGCAGGGTTTAAGAAAAAAATAGAAAAGGATTTAAAAAATAAAATAGTAGGAACAAGCAATAAAAACGAAAAAATGTGGTCTCCATGAATGCATCCTGATTTAGTGAAAAATTCAGTAGTTTTTCGTAGTTTTAACCAAACTCGCAAAATACTCAAAAATCTTCTAGATCCGAAATCAAAATATAGTCAAGGGTTTGCTGTTATTAACATTGAAACTGGTCGGGATTTGTGAAATTCAGAAGAAGAAAGAGATAAAATTAAGGAAATTAATCTAGATTTTGAAGAAGAAAAAAAGGAAATAAGAAAGAAATTAAAAGGCTTTAGTGGTGTTAAAGATAATGATAAAAATGTAAAAAGATATAGACTATGATTAGATCAAAACAAAAGAATTTGAAAATGAGACAATAAAAAGAAAAAATACAAAAAGGTAAAAAAATGAATAGAAGTTAATGAAGGAGCGATTTGTCTTTATTGCGGTGACCAATTAGACTTAATTCATTTGAATGAATATCATTGCGATCACATCGTTCCCCAAAATAAATGAGCCAATGACTCTCCTCATGAAAATTTAACTTTAACTCATCCTAGATGCAATGAAGCCAAAGGAGATAATTTGCCACTTCAATTTTTTTGAATGAAAACTTCAAAAGAACAAAAAGAATATCAAGATCGAGTTGATGGCCTTTACCAAAAAAGAAATCCGCGAAAGCACGAATTATTAAATTTAGGAGATGACTGGAAAGAAAAAACCGAAGATTTTGTCAGTCGAAATATCAATGATACTAGAGCAATAGCCACTTATTTAACTAAATATATTCAAAAAGAGTTGAACAAGAACAAAAAATTTGAGAAAACAGAAGTTCAGGTAATTAGAGGTTCGATAACTTCTTATTTTCGAAAGCAAATTTTCGACAAATCCTCAGTTTTTCACTACAAAAAACAACTAAGAAGTTTGACTCACTATCACCATGCTGTTGATGCCATAGTTTTAGCCCATTTCAAATCTCATGGGCATATCCGATTGTTACAAGACTTAACTAAGATTAATTGAAAAAAGCGAGAACTTGAAAAGGGAGAGAGCTTTACCCAAGAACAGTTTGATTCTCTTTGTCGGGAAATTGCTGAAAAGTGAAAAAGGCCAGAATGAAAATTAGAAAAGCATGAACTGTTGGATGGATATACCCAAAAGTTATTAAGGAATAATATTTTAGAAATTATCACTAAACAGAAAGAAATTGATAATTTTAAATTTTTCCTAGTTCCTAATTTAAAAAACATTGTCGAACAAAGAATTCCTGTGCGGTTAGAGAAAACAGAGATAAAACTTCCCCGAAATAGAGAAGGAAAAAAAGAAATAATTATTGAAATTGAAGTTAGGGAAGTTTTGGCAGAGGATAAATATCACGAAAGAATCGAAAGTGATTTAGAAGATAAAAGAGGTAATATACATTATCCTTATATTTCTTATACTCCTGATCACAAAACAAAAAGGAATTTTTTTGCTTCAGAACAGCCTGGGAACTACGCGGCAACAGGCAAATTAATTCTTCCCAATCTTTATGAAAAGTTAAAAAAAGAAGGGAAGATGGATTTACCGAAAAAAAACTCTTTAAGTAAATTAGTTGAAAAAATAGGATTGGAGAAACTTAACTCTGAATACGGAGAAAAATATTTTTTTTTGATTGTAGAGGATAAAAGGAAGAAAAAAAATTATACAATTTGGGACACTTCTATGTATGTCGGTTTTGAAATTAATGATAATGACAAGTCGAAAAGAGTAAAAAATATCGAGTTGATTCAAAAAAAGAGAAGTATAGAAAACCATCAACAATTTGTTAGACCTAAAGATATCTTTACTATTATTGATTCAGAATCCTTAGAAAATTCACTAAAAGAATTGGTTAGCCTCCCTTTATTTTATACAGGAACGGAGGGAGATAATGTTTCTTCTATAAGCATAGCGAGCCTTATCAAGGATAATAAGGAAAATCTAGAAATCAAATTTCCGAATGATACAGTAGTCAAAGTAAGAAACAAAATTAATTTTCTGGGAACTAGGAAAAAATCAATTAATAAAATTTCTCCTTCGATTAAGTTATTAAAAATTAATATTTTGGGTAAAAAAGTGAAGTAGTTTTGATATTATTTTCTAAAATATATTAAGACAGAGAATCTAAGATAAGGCTATATGCCGAGAGGTCAGGCATCCTCTATATCTGCCTAGTTATTAGTTTTTGGGTTAAATTGATGAAATTCCCCCAAGCAATACTTGGCTAAAAAAACTTCAACTAAAATCTGTTCTAATCAAAAAAACCTCTAATTTTGTCAAAATAAACATTTTTAATGCTTAATTTTTGTTGGCGAAAAAATTACTTATTTCCTAACTTTAGAGTTTGTTTTAGACGGACAGGTTTTAGTTCTCTGTCAAATTAAAGAATAATAAACTTATAAAACTTACGCAAAACGCTAAAGTCAAGTTTTAGTTCTCTGTCAAATTAAAGAATAATAAACTACCTTCTTCATCCTTTCACTTTATCTCCGAGTTTTAGTTCTCTGTCAAATTAAAGAATAATAAACTCGCTACCTATACATTTACTATATCCACCTAGTTTTAGTTCTCTGTCAAATTAAAGAATAATAAACTACCCCTATCTTCTTCCCTTCGTTCACCTATGTTTTAGTTCTCTGTCAAATTAAAGAATAATAAACCAACAACCGAAAAAGAGCCACCCGAAAATATGTTTTAGTTCTCTGTCAAATAAAAATTCTAAATAATTACTTAGATTAGTTATGAATTGAAAGACTATAATAGTGAGGGAAAATGATGAATTAAGTCTCAAAAATAATCAATTTACTTTAATTGATAAAAGAGAAAAAGCTAAATTACAATTTTCCCTTGATGATATTAACTGTATAATTCTCGAAAACAGCCATTCTCGCATAACTAGTCATTTGCTAAGCAAACTAGCCGAAAATAATATCTCTTTAATAGTTACTAACGAAAAATGCGACCCAACGGGTCTGCTTATCAGTTTAAATCAGCATTTTTCTCCTCTGGGCGTTTTTCGAAAACAGTTGAAAATGACCCAGAGATTTAAAGACTTGTTATGAAAAAAAATTATTCAAAGGAAAATTGAAAATAGTTATTTAGTTCTAGAAAAGCAAAAACCGAAGGTTGATTTAAACTGAATTAAAGCCCAATTGAAAAAGGTAGAAAATGGCGACCGAACTAACCGAGAGGGAGCGGTAGCGAAATATTTTTTTCAGAAGTTATACGGTAAGGGTTTCATTCGCTTTGCTGATGATAATATTAATAGAGCATTAAATTATGGCTACAAAATTTTAACTAGTGCTATTTCTAGAACTCTCATTAGTTATGGTTTGAATAATCATTTAGGAATAAAACATTGCGGACCGACCAATTGATTTAATTTGAGTAGTGATTTTATTGAGCCCTTGCGACCGCTTGTTGATTACTGAGTGATTACTAATATTTTTCGTTTAGAAAGAGAAAATAATTTATCTTCACAAATTAGGAACGAAATAGCAAAAATTATCTATTATCCGGTTAAAATAAATAACCTAAAAACAAAGGTTTATATAGCAATTGATATTATGGTTAAATCTTTTATTTCTTGCCTAAAAGAAAATAGAGTCGGCAAAATCAAATTACCTATTCTTCTTTGTCAAAGTTTAGAAAATGAAGAAATCGAATAGATGACGACAAATGCGAATAATAGTTTTATATGATTTACCAACTTTAACCAAGGAAAATCGGAAAGATTTTCGTTATTTTCACAAATATTTATTAGGAAATGGTTATTATATGCTTCAATTTTCAGTTTATGTTAAACTTTGTCATACTTTCGATTACGCCCAAGAATCCGCCCAAAAGTTGAAAAAAAATTGTCCCAAATTAGGAAACGTTAGATATTTAATAATTACCGAGAAGCAATTTCGGGATATGAAAATGGTAGTAGGGAAAGAAACCGAGCAAGAGAAAGTTAAAAATATAGATTATTTGATAGTTTTATAAACTTTTCAAAAAAAATAAATAAATTTTTTTATATTTTACCTAATTACTTTCCTTTTAGAATAAATAGTTTATAAAAAGAACATTTATTTAATTTTTTTGCGAAAAAGTATCTTTTTGTTGTTTTCCTTGCTTAGAAAAGGGTTTAAAAAAAACCCTTCTTCCATTTTTTTCTTTCGACCGATTTTGAAATAAAAACAAGCACTATATTTATAGAAAACTAATATTTACTTTACTTTTCCAAATGTAAAATTAACTGGTGGGAAGAGAGGGACTTGAACCCCCAACCAATTGATCTACAGTCAACTGCTCTGCCAAATTGAGCTATCCCCCCATCTTTTTACAAATTTACTCTATCCCATTCTTCCTGTTTATTTTTCTTAATAAAATAATAAATAATAGCAGGTAAGAGACCGAATAAAGCCCAAAAAATTAATCAACCTACACTTAATTTAGGTCGGTATCGTTCGATACAGTTTCGGCAAACTTTTTGGCTACCGTAATGGTCTTTTTCGCAAAAGCGACAGTGTTTTTTCTGTGTGTGTGTGTGTTGTTGTCGTAATTCATATTCCTATAAATGTATTTTACTATATAAATGGTGCTGATTGTAGGACTTGAACCCACAACCTACCGCTTACAAGGCGGTTGCTCTACCAATTGAGCTAAATCAGCCAACTAATTAATTTATTATTTCTTTCTAATTGCCATTAGGAACATCTAAATACTATTAATAAATTTTATCTATCCCTATCCAGCCTAGTAGGGATTTTTTTGCTTCTATTTTGATTTTTTCTTAACCAATCCTCTAATTATTTCTTTACCCAAAACAACCTTTCTTTCCGATAATATTATTTTTAACTCCCGTTTGATTTTGGAGTAAATTTTGATAAAAATTATTCACTTTGGGAAGGCAAAGCATTACATGATTTTCCCTAAAACCGATAACTTGTAAATACTTAACCGAAGTTGCCCGAGAGAGAGCCACATATAATTGTCCTTCGGCAAAAATACTACGACAATTAATTTTTAACCTTTCAATACTTTGTCCCTGACTCTTATGAATAGTAATGGCCCAACTTAAAATCAACGGAATTTGTTGACGACTGGCTTGGACGATATGAGTGTAGGGAATTTTAACACTTCATTCGACCGGCTCAATAACTTTCTTAATCCCATTGGTGAATCTAACTACTGGAAGGACTAGTTTTTGAGTTGAGGACTTTTTTTTTCTAGTTTCTTGGTCATAATGGTTAATTTTACATTCTTGTTCTTGAAAACCAACTACTATTCCTTGACTACCATTAACTAATTGAGGAGACAAATTTTTAATTAACATCACTTGGGATTTAAGTTTCAATTGTAATTTACTAGGAGCAAGGCAACCTCGGAGAATTTCGGATAATCGATTAGGCGAAACCTCTCAATCTATTGCTTGATATGAACGTAATTGATAGGGAAGTTTTTCTAACTCAGTGTTGTTAACTTTGCTCACTTCCTCATTAGTAGCGGATAATTGAATCGCTTTAATACCGTCATTCGGATATTTTGGTTCTTCTTCTAGTTCTTTCATTACTTCTAGTCCTTCGGGCGAAATCTCGCCAAACCGTATCTCGTTGAGAAGTTTAATTAGTTTATTTTCGCTCTGGCGGTGAATTTCGGTTAACAAAATAGAATGGTTGAGACAGTTTTTTCAACTCTGAGTTTCAAAACAAAGTTTTGACAAATTTTTTCTTTTTGCTACCGGAGGAAGTTGAAAAAAATCCCCACAGAAAATTAACTGTAATCCTCCAAAAGGTTGGCTATTGTTCCGGACAGTTCGGGCAATTATTTCCAATTTGTCTAATAAATCTCCTTCTAACATAGAAATTTCGTCAATTACTAAAACCTCTGTTTTTTGTCATCTTTTTAAGTCTCGTTTTGAGTCTCGGATTTTTTTAATTAAATCAGGCAAAGGACTATCACCTAAACCAATTCCGGAAAAAGAATGAAGAGTAGTGCCGTTTATGTTAACGGCAGCAATTCCGGTCAAAGCGGTAACTGCCACTCTTTCTCTTCCATAACGCAATTGGAGGGCGGCAATTATTCTTTTTAATAAAAAACTTTTCCCAGTGCCTGCTGCCCCCGTAAAAAAAATATTTTCCTTTTCCCTTACCGCTAAATAAAACACTTTTTTTTGCTCTTCACTCAAAGAACTAGCAATTTTTTCATTTTCTTTCTCAAAAAAAATCTCTTTTTCTTGGTTTTTTACTAAAAAAACTTTTTCTGATTCACCATCTTTTACTTTTTTAACCTGAGTAAGTTTTATCTCTTCCGTGCTTTCATTTTTCTTTTTGCGTTGTTTTTTTTCTACCGCAACTTCTTCCCAAGGACTAATTTCTTCGTTGTTATCCAAAAACTCTATTCCTCGGCACATAAAACTACGAGCACTTTTTTCACACCTCAGGAGACAAATTTTTCTCTCTTCTGAGTATTCCTCCAAATAATTTTTTCCGAACGAACAGTAAAAAATTCCTGCTTCGTTTTCCAATTTCGCTCAATAAAATTTGTAATAGCCCAATTTTTTTCAAACCGGTTTTTCGATAAATCTAGCAACTGTTTTTCACATTACCTTATCTATGGTAGAGTATGCTGGGATCGAACCAGCGACCCTCTGCTTGTAAGGCAGACGCTCTTCCGCTGAGCTAATACTCTTTATATTTAATATTTTTAGCAAAAAACTAATTGTTAATACTCAACCTTATAGTTTTTTATAGTAATTCCAAATTTCTGAAAATTTTTTTAAAGGTTTAAGATAAAAATTAGACTTAATAATACCGAGTTGGTTTGAATTTTCCAACTCGGCATCGGCAATTCCTTTATAAAATTTCACTACCGGTAAAATGGGTTTATTTGTTTTTTTTTTTTTTTTGAATAACCAGTAAATAGATTAAAAAACCCACTATCAAAATACCTATTCCTCCTAAAATCCAATGACTATAATTAGCCCCTTTTGAATTAGAATTATTTTTTTCTTTTTGCTCTAATTGGCTTTGCAGTTTATCCTTTTCGGTGGTTAATTTAATTACTCTTTCTTTCCACAGATTTAATTCTTTTCCCTGAGGAGTATCACATTTATGATTAGATAAAGTAGTAATTTGCTGTTCTTTTTCCTTTAACTGTTTTTCTGTTTCTTTTTTTAATTTGGTTAAATCAGTAACTTTTTTTTGTAAGTTGACAATATCCTGGTCTTTAATATTTGCTTTAACTACTTTCTCATTTCACTTGGTTAATTCATTATTGCCGATTATGCTTTTTATATCGGTTTCGTAATTATTGACTAATTTTTTTAAGGAATTTTTTTCCTTTTCCAGATTATCTAATTCTTTTTCTTCCTTCTCATCTTCACTCTTAACCTTTGAATATTTTATACTTTCTTCACTACTAAAAGGAAGGTTATTGATAGTATAACCTCTACCTTCACTGCTGCCCCAAATTTGGTTAAATATTTCTATTGCATGTTCATCAATACTCTTAGCACTATCCTTGCCTCATAAAATTTCTTTTCAATTTTTCTCAGTTATTCTAGAAGAAAGATTATTTTCACTTATTAATTTTTCTATTTTTATTATTCAAAATAATTTTAAATTTCTGTATTTTATATCTTTTATATTCATAGCAATTTTATTCTACCAACAATTAATGTCAGTAGGTAACTTATTTTTAACAGTTTGCTTTGGAGAGATTTCTGCTTGAATTTGGTATTGCTGATAACCTTGCTTTTTTGACTTATTTTCTAGTTCATTAGCATAATTTATTATCTATTTCAGCACCTACTCTTTTTACATTCCTAGTTCGGGTTCGGAATATTTTTTTAGTAGTTTGAAACAAAGTAAAAATTACTTAGATTTGGAAAGAAAAAACAGTGAGAAAGGAATGTTTAGTTTCTATAAAGCGGTGAGGCTCACACATAATTCAGGTAAAGTTCGCTAATATATTCTCAATTCAGGAGGTATTTTAAAAGTTTTTCCACATATTCTTTGCGACCAGAACTAGATTTATAATCTAAAACATAGGCATGTTCTCAAATATCAATGGCGATAAGCGGGCGACAGTGTAAAGACCACGGATTATTCTGATTAATGGTGTTAATAATTTTTATTTTTTTGTTTTCATCTAATATCAGTCAAGTTCAGCCACTTCCTCGAACTTTCAAAGCACTTTTTACTAATTTTCGTTTTAATTCTTCTAAACTGCCGATTTCTAAATCTTTTTTAATATTTTCTAACAAATCCGGATTAATCTTTTCCTCGTTTTTTTCACTCATTTTAGTTAGGTGAGCGAAAAAAAAATTATGGTTTATTAGTCCACCCCCAAAGAAACGGATATCTTCTTCTATTTCGGTCGGTAATTTATCCAAATTTTCCATCAACTTTTCCAAAGTAGAAAACTGTTGCTCGATTTTGGTTCCCTTCAACATTTCCAAAAGTTTAATTTCATAATTTTTATGGAGGATATTATAATGAAAATGCATAGTTTGGAAAGAAATAACCCATTCTAATTCATTAAGTTCATAAGGTAATTTAATTCTTTTATATTCCCCAGTGGGTAGTAATTCATTTTTTTTATAGTTAGCCATATAAGTTTTTTTAGCAAAAGAATTAGGAAAGTCTAAGCCAGTAGCAAAAAGAATGATAAAAATAATATTTTTTAGTCAGTAGATTTTTTGTTTAATTTTGTCCTTTTCTGATTGCCTTTCTTTCCAATTGCTCTAATTTATTTTTCAAATTTTCTACCTCTTGACCGAGTTTTTTATATTTTTTTCCCGCCTTGGTATTACTGATTATAAACGAACCTCCTATCAGAGAAACTACGGAAATAACAGACAAAATAATAAATGCTTGTAGTTTTTTGGAAAGCGTTATGATTTAAAAAAAAGGATTATAAAATTCAGTATTTTAGTTATTAGTTTCGAAAAATAATAGTAAACATGTCAAAATTTAGAAATATAGGACATTATGTCTTGCTTTGTTTATTAATAATACTTTTTTTTTTATGTTCTTACCCTTTCTTTTTTTGCTTTCATGCTAAAAAGATATCGAAAAAGTCGTCTTTCTCGTGGGCGATGAATGTTTTTTATTTTTGCTCGATTTTTTATTTTCTTTTTATACTCGGTTTGGCTTTTGCCTATTTTTCTTTTATCAAATGATTTTTTTTAACTACTTAGAATAGTTATTTTTTTCTTTCCCTAATTAGACTATAAAATTTAAGTTTTGAAAAATAAAAAAAGTACAGTGGCAGATTAAAATCTAATTCTTGCTTTTTATCTTTTTAATAGGTGAACTAATTCATATAGTTACAATAAGTAATTCTATAAATGAAATTCCGTGAAAAAATTTTTTTCTGCTGACGAATATTCAAAAATTTATTAAAATTGTTATAATATTAGAATGAACCAAAAAGAAAATTATTATATTATTGCCGACCACTTGCGGACTGCTATTTTTGCTTTGGCGGATGGGGCGGCGTTTGAACCCAAAGGGCGAGGATATATTCTCAAAAAACTAGTCAAAAAAGCCACTCTGTTGGCTTACTTAATTAATTTAAATGGCGAAAAACTACAAAAAATTAGTGAAAAGTTAATTGAGGTTAATTCTTCTTACTACCGGCATTTAAAGGAAAAAGAAAATTTGATAATTAGCGAACTAAAAAGGGAAATAGATAAATCAACTGAATTCATTGATAAGTCAATTCGAGAACTAGATAAGTATTATACCCCCAACATCACCGCCGCAGATATATTTTTTTGATATGATACCAAAGGCATTCCAGAGGAATTAATTCGCTTTCACCTCAAAAAAAAAACTTACAATTTTCCCGAAGAAGAATTTAACTGTTTATTAGAAAAGCAAAAAAAGCAAAGCCGACAAGACAGGGCAGGAAAAAAAGTATCAGTTTTTTAGAAATTTTTCGAATAAACAGTTAAAAATTAAAATGTTTTTTTTATATATGGTGGGACCAGGTGGACTCGAACCACCGACCTCACCGTTATCGGCGGTGTGCGCTACCAACTGCGCTATGGTCCCGTTTTTTTATTTAAATTATCTCACTATTTTATTTAGTAAAGTTATTAAAATCTTTCGATTTTTTTAAACATCGACTTCATTTCCTTGTTTTTCTCTAATACCGTTGCTATCTAATAATTTTTGTAGAGTTTTTTTGAAAAAATTTTTAATACATTTCTCATTCATTTTTCCAAATTTTAATTTTTTTAAAAGTTTAGTTTTGGATAAAAGAAATTCCAATTTCTCTTTTTTTACCATATTAATTATTTTATTTAATGGAAACATAACCACCGGTTTTAAATCACCTCAAAAATTATTGAATGATCTCTCAGAAATAAAGAAAGTCTCTCGCTCTGACTTAAAAGCCTTTTTAACCCAAGACCACACCGCATTTAGTGTTCTAAATGTTTCTACTAAACACATAGAAAGCACCAATCGAATATCAGTCTCTTTAACTAAAAATTCGGCTCGCTCTTTTTATCTAAATCAATCTAAAAGCCCACTCAACAAGGCACCAATTCAACCTCCCATAATTGATGATTGCCTCCAAGATGCTAATAATTGCACTTATTTTGCTTTTTTTAATTCCAAAGAAAAGAAACTCTACACTCGCTTTAAGGATAAAGTGGAAGCCAACTTTGAAGGCACTCAGTCTAACCAGCCTCTTTTGTTCTTAACCCTCACTTTTAACACTAAACAGGATAATTATTCGGCTTTTACCACTAATTGAAATCCCAAAGACCCCTGTTGAGAGCCGATAGCCAAAAAAAATGGCTGATTAAAAAACTGAGCCGAAGCCTTTGATCCGCAAGCCGAACCTTTGAAAGTAAAAATTGCCAAAGTTAGCTCAGAAGTCAGTCAACACCAACCCGCCAACTATTATTTAGCCCTTTTTTTACGCCGGATTCGCCGTTTATGAAAGCCGGATAACTGAAAATGAACTGTGGTTAGTGAATTACAAAAAAATGGTATCTGGCATTTTCATTTATTAAGCACACCAATAGTCTCCTATTCGCACCGATGCACTTTGGACAAAAATTTTACCTCTTGCTGAAATTGCCGAGCCTATATTTCTGAACTGTGACCTTACGGTCGAGTCGAAAGTCGTAGTCCGGGATATAAGACTATCAGTTCCTATTTAGCCAAATATTTATCAAAAAGTTTCCATTTAAGAAGCCTTTACACTAAGCATGGTTTAGCCAATAATCATAAAACTTACCGCTTTTTTAAAAATCTTTACCAATACCAGCAAAAACCAGCTTTGCTAATCGCTAAACACCGCCTAGATGCCCAAAGCGGACTGCCCCTCCCCAAAAATCAAAAAATTTTTCGCCAGTTCAATTACCAAACTTCCCAAACCACTTATTTCTATCGCTCCCAGGAAAAATTAGTAGGCAATGCTGCCAAACCAATCCTAATCAAAAAGAATTATCGCCTAGGCACTCGCTCTCTAAACCCGCTTTCGCTTTTAAAATTAGCCACTAAATCCCCTCAAAAAGAGGCTTATTTGTGAAATAAACCCCAAAAGCACCTCTCCAAAGACTTCCAAGAATTTTTAATTACCCGTTTGCTGCTACTTTGTAAATCGGCTCAATTTTGCCATCTTCCCTTAGAGCAAGAGCAAGTGTTAAAAGAAGCCGATAAATGTAGTCAAAATGTTTATCACCACTTCCAAACTAAACCAGTGTTCCATTTCACTTTTGAACCGGAGAAAGCATCAGTTATCAGAGCCTTTATGGATAAATTAGACACTTATGCTGCCGAGTATGATATGGAAGAATCAAAAGAGTTCTTGGCTTACCCCATTTCACATAATTATCAACACCAAACCATCCAGCAGAGAGGGGATTTGTGCGGTTGTGAAACTCAGGCTCGCAACCAATATTTAGATAATTGGTCGCTCGATTATTTTCACCCTTCCACTGATAACTGACGGAGAACGCCAATGTAAAAAAAGGAGACACCTTTTTGGTAGCTTTTTTTAAAAGCTACTGGACAGTCAAAGGCCATGCCGAGACTGCCGGTAGTGAATGAAATGTGCTATCGGAAACAAATGAGCCTAGTTAGTCTTTTTAAAAAGTTAGTTCTCTGTTGACTGAGCCTCTAACTAGGTACTCGCCCCTTACCAGAGGGTTGAAGAGTTTAAAGCTTCCACCTGCGTTGGTTGGCTCAGTCTCCCTAACTAATTCTCGCTATTTTAGTAGTCTTAGTTAGGGAGGAAAATTTCTCCCGAAAAAAACCTCACTTCTAAGCGTTTAAAAGTCTGTTTTACGCGAGAAGTGAGTTAAAAACAGAACAAAACGAATATGTTAATAAATAAAAATACAATCCATAAAAAATATACCGATGAATGAAAGAATACGATTAAAGCCCTAGTGG